AGGGTAAAATATAGCCAGCCGGTGGGGATCATTTGAGTTAGTGCATAATGTTGTTTTGAAAAGTTATCAGAGAGCATGAAAATGACTGGTTGTCGTGGTGATTTTGTACAGTAAATATGAGTTCAATGAAATGTTTCATAACAGTAAAACCAAATCAAAGGAGTTATCTGTAGCCTCCATCTGTTTTTTATTTATTACCACCATCTGGCATCTTGCATTCACAATGCAAATACAGTGAACTTCAGACCACAACTTTGTCCTTATTCTACTGCTAAAAGTTCATTTTCACACTTTGGTTGTTAATATTTCAAAGCAACATGGCTGATTGCTGTAGAAGTACAAAAACGACCATGTTGATATTTACCAAGCTGAACTTTGTATTAAAACACAATTTTCAAACAGATTTTTTTTTTTTTTTTGTGAAAAAGATGTTAAAATTTAAGATATTAAAGTTTAAGTGAGGTTAAGTGACGGTGATATGAATTCATAACCTACAGAAATGTTGTGCTTTAGTCATACCAGATGACATGGCTTCATTGTATGTGCATTATTTTAGTCAGAGATTTGAAACCTATCAGACAAATGATATGTAAGCAAAACTAATCATGCTTACTTACATTTACTCTTAATATATATGTAGATTTACTTCTTGACCTAAAATATAAGACCATACAGAGCAGAGAATCAAACCATTGTAAGAAACTTATTATTGTTATTTATTGGAATTTTACAAACCAAAGAGTAATAGTCAAATTGTTTATCCCCAAAATTATAATTTTTTAAATGCTTTTGTCAAATCTGAATACAAGACTACAAGATACCATTTTTTAATTTAAACTTGAACAAAGTAACATGGTAAAAACAGGATAAAATGTTTTACAAAATTTTTTTTAAAAGTTTGAGTTTTTGTTTGTTTTCACTTTTAACAGAAAGTCATGTTTAAAGTGAGTGTTCATTTGGTGCATGGTGTATCAGCAAATATATAATAATCTATTCCTAGGAGACAGCAGTTGCCAGTGAATGACTTGTTAATGTTAAACTTTTATGTTTTTCACCCGAGTTGTAAAGCCTTTCCTGTCACCTTAGTGCACCCTTAATCAGAACACCGAATGTCTGTCCAGAAACAAATGGCAGTGTATTTGACTCCTCCAGACATACGTGACTGCATTTTTTTTTTGCCAATTAGATCCCAAGGGGGAATGCTGCAAAATCAGAGTTGCAGATGGAAGACAGAAGGAGAAGCAGATAGATTGCAGTGTGTCTGGACTGGATGTAGCAGCAAAATCTTGTTTCACTGTTTTGGTACATTTACATATTTACCTCAAAATAAAGATGTCTTTTTGAGAAAGTTAAACTCAACTATTGTGACTAGATCTTTTTCCCTTTAAGGATGAGACATATTTGATTTGCTTTAAAAGAGTCATAGATATTCTCATAATGAAACCGGAGACAAATCACAACATAGATTTCAATGCTTTTTATTTATACATTTTTGTTTATAAACAAAAATGTATAAATAAAACTGGGGATGGGGAAATTGGGCTAATAAACCAAAACTAAAAAGAAAAATGTAGGATGCACGTCTGCAAAGCAAGTAAACAAGCAAAATAGTCCAGCTGAACAAATGCAGAAAACAGAATAGTGTTATCGTCCCACAGTGGGCATCATGAGACCACCTGGAATAAGTTGACTGAGGGAGGATGCTGTTGACATACCTCGCTCATGAGACAGGGTTTACATGCCCAAACCACTGATAACAGACAAAAGTTAGATAAGGGAGAGGAAAGAAGACAATAAAGGCACCAGAGCTACAACTGACATTGAACTCAAAATGAGAAGAGTCTTGAGGGGAAGAATACCAAAAAAGCAATATCTTTGTTTTTCTTGAAGCACAGATAAATGGTGTACCAGAAAAATATGCTACCACAATTCACCAATTTTCTGCATTATTTTCATTACTAACATTGAGATTCTTTCTTTATTAAGAGTAAAGATATGTGTATTGAGTGGAAGCCAGTTTGTGAATATATTCACGTATTTTCGATTGCATAGACCCTTGAAGACATAATTGTTTTCATTTGCTGTTAATTCTATTCAACAGCCTTTGAGCAAAATGTACTTTTATAATTAATTTTTAAGTGACTCATTGCACTAAAAAGCATTGTGTTAAATTTGTCTGCTTTTTTTTCTGTCACCGCTTAATTGTTTCATCTTAAGCTGTTTTCTTTAAGTTTTGTTTACAGCAATTCGATTATGTCTGCACAGTATGTTAACTTCTTAGATGTCACTGTTGCACAGCATGGTTAATCCCAAGGTTTTATTAGAACTCATCATGGCCTTACTTTTTATATTCCTGTAAATGGTTCAAATAGCTTCTTTATTGGGGCAAGCAGGAGGATGCTACTCCTTCAAGTCATGCACTTCAGTTTAAATCAGCATTGCTAGAAGCATAAGCGCCAATACATTATCTGTTTCAGCATCGAACCCTGTGGTGAACCTTTAAAACAATGTTGTTTCCAGGCAGATTTTCTTTGTCTTCTTTTGTACCAGAAATTGAAACAGTATTCCAGTGTGATGGCTCTGCTGGAAATGTTTTCTCTTTTTTTCCCCTCTAGCTGCAAGATGATACAAGACATATAGAAGATAAGAGTACAAAGGCACACAAGGCCATGTGGGGTTGACAGAATAACAGATGAACTATTTAGAAAAAAAAATGCTCAATTCTATCAAACGCAGTAAATTGAAGTAGATACTAAAAAACAATTAAACTAGTCTATGTCAATTACTGGTATTATATGCAATAACTTATGAACACGACTAAAACCTGGACAATGCAGAAAAGGCACAACTCATAATAAAATTAGTACTAAAGAAATATTTCTAATAACTTATATCAGCTAAACCAGTATCAAAATTAAATGACTGCTACCAAATAACATAGATAATATCATCCACAGTCTGGACAACTTTTCACCAATCTTAAAATCTTTATTTTGAACACTTTGGCCAACAAAAATCTGTGTCCAACATTTGTTTTAAGTTGTCCCATGTCTGCATTTTAACAATTTAATTCTTTTCTTGATGCTGCTGAATTTATTTACAAGAAATGCATTAACCATGAGCCATGCGCTAAAAATTGTTACAAAAAACAAAACACTTCTTATTATTGCACTTCTTTTCAGTGCAATAAAAATCAATTTGCATTGTTTTGCATTTCACAGAGTGGAGACCAAATTTGCTTGATCAATAGACCGTGAGGGTCAGTTGCTCTGCGCCACTCAGCATGCATCTTGCATTCTGCTTCTGTCCAATGGCTGCAGTAGTCAACAGATTAAAGAAAGGCCAAAATGAAAAAATGAGCAACATGAACTGTGAAAGTTCATGTGAAATCAATGAAAGGTTTATCACAAAAGTGCAACTTTACTGCATTTTTATACTTTAAGTTTAATTGTTTTTTGGCATTATCAGTCAACGGTGGACTCGTGAAAGCGATGCACATAACATATTCTCTGTTTAGCAGATATATGGCACTTTGGAAAAGTATTGGCCATAACAGATTTCATCTGCTTTTCCTTTTTTTGTCACTGTGAAATGTCCCATATCATCATACTGATTTTACTATGAGATAAAGGTAACTTGGGTGAATACAAATAGAGTTTTCAAGTATTTTGTTTAAGGGGAAACCCTACCTAAAGCAATCTATTTAAAAAATCCTTAAATGAAATGTTATTAATTGCTATAATTTTTATAGAAGCTGAGTTGAAGTAAATTTTTCTCATACAATTTTTTTCCAGACCATTGTTCATCAATGTCTATCTAGCATATTTTTGTAGAACAATGAGTTAAATGTAATTATTTTTATTATTATTTTCAGTGAGAGGGGTAAAACTTAGCATAGAAAATTTTGTTCAAAAATACATTTATGGGCACTTCGTACTTCCATTTCTTCATATTGAAGTGGTAAATTATAAGAAAAAAAATGCACTGCATTACACTGTGACCAAAATAACTGCAAGAAAAACAAAGCAGATGAAGCTGAGCTTAACTGCACATTAATCTGAACAAATGTGCATCATAATGTTCAAACTGCAATGGCTTTGTTGTTGTTTCCAATGGAGACTTGTGTGAGCAATTGTTTTGTTTTCACCTGTGTCTTCATCTCCTCTTCCTGGAAGCTCATTGGCATGCATGATGATACCTGACTGGGTGCAACATTTCACCATTATTCATGGACAGAGTACACCTCTGAGCCAGACTGACAGATCAAAAGATCATGATGATAGGTTGAGGCTACTGGTGTTTTGGTTGATGAATGGTCCCATCGTTCCGAGATGGCTTCGCTGGAGGAAGTTTAAGGATGTTTTTCATCTCTTGTTAAATTTTCCACTTCAGATACACACTGCTTTCAAATGTGATCCGTGCCGTCCCTTCTTTTGTCAAACACAAAAGAAGGGACAGCATTCTAAATGTACGCTTAACTTTTTTACTACCTCAAATGTACTAAAATGTGTAGAATCTCCCCTATTTCCTTTTGTGTTATCCTTTATTGAACAAGGCAAACCAAAACCCTCTCCCAGCCCTTTTTCCTTCCCTCCAGCTTGTTGTTTTGGAGTCATTCATCAGGAGAAGTGAGACTGAACAATCAAGGGAAGCGCTGGCAGGATCCCTGTAGAGATGAGGCAATATTGAATTGATGGTATCATTTAAAAGCTGGAAAAAAATAGAAGAAAGAAAACAGTGCTGTTTTTTTTCCCTGTCTAAATTAGACAGCCTTGTGGGTCTTAGTGCATTTCATGGTCTAATATCTTAACCCTCCTAAAAAGAAGACAGATAGAAACAAGCACTTTTGGAAAAACGCTGTTTGTATCTCTGTATTGTCTCTCTCAAGATGATTTTCAAATTGTCTTGAGAGACAGTCACTCTTTACAAAGTGTTTTGAAAAAAAAAAAAAAAAAAAACAACCTTACAGTTTCGACATGACAACCATCTTCTTTTTATAGCTATCGAAGCAAACACTGACTCAATAGAGGACTTGATGCAGAGGTTCCAGGACAACTTTCGTGTTCCCAACACACCAACCAACATGTCCCATTACCAGCATACTGTGCACAGCTCATCAACAGGCCGACGGAGGCTCTCCAGCCGCACCAGAGGTAAGACAAACCAGCCCCACCCCCAAAACAACACTAAATTATAGGCAGTCTGCTTGTCACCAGTCAAATACTACTAGACTGATTTTGTGAGAACTGCTAAAGTGTTACTACATTGAAACAAGACTTTAAAAGAAATGAATAATATATTCAAATGTATATAACCAAAAATTCAAAAGAAAACAGAACTGAATGTACCGGTAGTTATTTGTAGATGTTCTTAGCCTCTTTTAGAAAGCATCGTGGGTTGTGTTTAGGAAAAAAAAAAAACATGTAGACACCATATAATCAGTAAGCTGCTTTTAAAGATTATTAAAGTAATATCATTTAAATAATAAGTAAATGAGAAGGGTATGAGATTTTCATTTTGGATCAATGTACGAACCCCAAAATATACATATGCACTAATTCAGTTATTATTATTGTACCACCTATTACGGACTTCTTTTTTAATAAATCTATTCAAAATGAAATTGCTTCAAGAATGTTGAGCTAAAATGCATTACGCTATCTCAATAAATGTCAAGGTCAAGTAACTCTCAGACTCCCACTTGGTACTGAGAAAACTGTCTTTGAATAATTTTGTACACAATATGTGCAAATATTAACTTGATTCTATGGACAGATACCGCATTTTATTTACTGCAGAAGTGCTGACCTCCACATGTGTGATGCTTTGACTGAAGTTGTTAAAAAAGTGACATTCTCATCTTTTTTCTTTTTCTTTTTCCCCACATAAAGATGTTTCAAATCATCCAACATGTTTTACCCAAAGACTACAGTTTGTTTGTTTTTTAACCCCTTTTATTCTTACCTAGAATATCTCCCATTAATACAGTTTTTGCCCTGGCTTTACCTTATTATTTCATCAAGAACAATAAATAGATAAAGTGGAAATAATCACAGCTTTTCTATAACTCTTATTCAACAATGAGGGATGAGGGGTGTCGCGTGGTATAGAGACTATAGACCCCATTGCAGTGTTCCTGGTTTGTCTCCCTCCCTCAGTACCTTTTCCATATGTTAAGCCCTCTTCTCTATACCCCCTTTCCTGTCAAAAAAATGGGAAAAAGAACCACTAGAACAACCAAATATAGCTTAGAAAAAAGACAATATAAATCAAGTGGATCAGCAACTTTTTTTCAGTCAGGGCCAGAATTGTTTGACTTTCCTATGGTAAAAAAGACCCTGTCTGCAATTGTAATATATATGCATGGCTACAAAACCTTTATTGTTTATTAACAAAAAAAAAACAAAAAAAAAACAACTGACATTTCAGTTTTAAGATCTTAAAACATTTCAGTTTTAAGATCTGATCAGCAACATTAGCACTGAATACAACTCATTACCTGAAATGATCATTTCAGTCACATATGGTGGAAAAATAGTCTGTGTCATTGGTCATGCCATTATGACCACAGATGAAATTTGTAGAATAATGAGACATTAACCTTGCTGAGTTCACCCACCCTTGACAGAATAACCATTCTTTTACTTTAAGTGCACAATAGAAAAATAACACCAAGGATTTATTTTCTTTCCATTTTGCACAAGTCTTGCATACTTGCTTCTGCATTTTCCCCAATCACGTAGCGATTCAGAGCAATTACATTATAATATAGAAAATGTCAGTTTGTGTTGTTGTTAATTGCCATTGGGGATTTGATTGGGCATTACTTAAAGGTATTATGTGTCAAATTACTAAGCAAAAGAGACACAGCCATTAATTTCCACACCATCAAAATTGTGAAGGACATGACTAAGACATGTGCTTTGCAAGGTCAGTGATGAAATATGTTCTTTGTGAGTTTATAATTTAAAACTGTACACAGTTTCCTGAGAGCTGACCCATGCTACAAAAATTCATAAAGACTTAGTTGGAATGGGGTTGAAGGCAATTTAACTGGTCACACCCCAAAGTTCAGTTCTGCACAAAAGGAAAAACAACATTCACAGAAATGAAGTGACTCGACTTTATTTCGGGACAAAGGGACCAAAGATATTTTTTCATTTCAGCTGTTAATGCAAATTACAAAGCAGCTCAATGCAGTTCAAGAACCTGCTTTTAAAATTTGTAGACCAACATTAACCCACAGAGTGGACAAAACAGAGAAGTTGTGTGCTCTTATTACCATTTTATGAGTGTCTGAGCACATACTAGCACATAGTGGATGCTATAACCTGTTTGGTGAAAAAACCTTTGATGTAACTTAGATCTGTACTCCATAATCTAATATATCATTGATGCATTTTACAAGAAGCTGTAAAAGGTATGTGGACTGGATGATTGAAGTTACTTTCACAGATTCACATTATTTTCTCATTAACATAACTTTGTGTTATGCAGCAACATTGATTAACAGGAATTAATGAGCGAACAGGCCTCACTCTCTTTCAGCTGTTGTTTTTTGAATACCTGCCTGGTGAAGTCTTTTACTTTGGATCTAAGGTTTCTTCAAAGATACAGTGTTTTATTCAGCCGTTGAGATCAAGTCATCCTCGCCAGTGTAGGTTGTGGAGAACCTCACAGGAATTCCTGTTGTGGCTCCTCCTCTCACAGCATGGTAGTATTTACTTTTCGTGAGTGACACCAAAAATGTCACTCAAAAAATGGGTTAACTTTTTTGAGTGACTTTTGCATCCAAGAGTCATGATTTCTTGAGATTTTTTTTTTTTTTTTAACTATTTGTTGTTCCTAAAACCTTTGCTGTTCTGACCTACTTAAGAAAAACAACAACAAAAAAAGAAAGCACACAATTTTACTTAATACCACAATCTGCACAGTTTTTATTTGGTAACATGCTGATGGTGTGTGACAATGCAGGCTGGGAGTTAACAGACCAATATTGACAACAGTAGCAGCTGGCTTGTCTGCACAAGAGGAAACCTCATTGTCTTCAGTGTCTACGTGGGAGGGAAAACAGTAGTTACTGTTGGAAAATGATGGATGGGATGTCGACATCCAGCACCACACAGCAATTTCCCCCCCAAAAAATTATTTCTTGGAGTGTAGAAAAAAAAAAAAAAACAGCTAATGGCCAATCACTGAATGCAAGTGCTGACTGTGCCCAACATTGCCCACAAATCTATACAGAACTCCAAAAAGAGCAAAACATTTTTATTGTATTAATAAAAGTTGGAAAGACATTTCTTCAGTGTCTGATTAAAAAAAAACATGTCAAAATTATTGTCATATTTATCACAAAAAACTACCAGTGAATTTTCAGTAAGATGCAAAGTTGTTCTGGGCCATTAGCAAAAAACTGCATCTGTTCATAGTGTCCCCATACCCTCATATAGAGATATGCACTGAAGCAACATTCCTTATTTCCTATTCAGCATATTGCCCTAGTTTTTAGCTGCATCATATACCTGGACTCTTGAAATGTTGACTCATGCATAAATATCATTATAATGCAGTTATAAAATTCACAATACATCAGCTTGCATTTCCTTTTTTGGAAAATCTGTACTACTCCTCCTGCGACTACTATTAATAAGAATAATAATGTTGATGGCAATAACAATATTCTGCATACCTTCATAATCATAGAAGCTTTATTAGGATTTCATTGAAATTATGATGTCCAAAATTACATTTACCATTAAAGTTACAATTTATGTCAACCAACTTCTATTCAATAATGGTTAGCTGGATATTTTTACCTGCTATTCAATGATTTATTTTTCCAGTTGGTACATTATTTGTTTTCTACATATGCAGTATTGCCTGTCATTTAATAAAGCTCGGGTTGCAGAAAGGTTAGCTCAGAAAAGTCAGTGAACAAACTGAACAACTGAATGAATCATTTCTTTCCTGCTTGATATGATTTGTACTATTTTTAAGGAGATCCATTGTTTTGATTGCATATTTTATAGACTCTACAGTTATTGTCAGATTCAGCAACATCAAATCAAGCATTTATTCGAATTTGATAAAAGTACCAATCAGATTTGCTAGTTTTATGTTGCCTTTACAATTGCAATCTAAAATTCCCACATCTAGAATGTATCCTAGAAACCCCTGGGTAAAAACACTGAAGTAATATTTATGACAATGCGAATAACAAGTTTGTCCTTAAAACATCCTGCCTTATTTGCATACACTTCTGTGCCTTCTAATCTCCACTGTTCATGTTTCTCAGGGTCCTCACGTGGTGAAGTGCTGGTGTTTGATGCTTTGGAACAAGTACTTTGTCTTATTTCAACAATGATAACCTTATGGTTAATATCTGGGATTTATCCTTAATTAATGTTTTGAAGTGACACATGAAAGTGTTAGCTTTTGGCGTCTCATGTGCTTGTGGGTGAGGAAGGGAGAATGAGAGACAGCAAGAGGATTTGTGTTGCAGAGCTTGGTTTCATTTTCAGTCGTCTTCAGTCTTTGGTACAGACCAAACATAATGATTACACTTGTTGGTCTGCAGCCCTGAGGCATTTCTTCACAACACGCCATTCATATGATGTACTGCCAAGCTGGAACAGTGTTTTTTGTTTTTTTGTTTTAAAATTTCTGTGGAAAATGTAGTAAGACAGAAGAGTAGATCTCTTTGACCAGGTAGCAATCAAAATTATAATTACGGTGTTTAATATAGAAAATGAAAAAAAAAACATATTTACATGATTCCTCATTTATTTGGGATCTATTTGATTTGACTCTCAACTTTCTAAGTCTTGACTTTGTACTTTTCTTGGAATTTATGTTTTTCCACGGGACTTGACTCAAGACTTGATTGGACAGAGCTGAGACTTTCTTGTGTGGTTCAAGATAATGACTTAGTACTTGTCAATACTTCTAAAGATGTCTGATTTGCTCAGTATGACCTACTATCTTGCTGTTAGCCACAGTTTTTGTGAAGATGCTCGATTAGAGGAATTCTACGTGTACAGCAGCTGGTTGTATTCTAGTGAAACAAAGTGGAAGCTCTTTGTTGATTCTTCATTTGTTTAATGTCTCTTCGATTGCTTGCTTACAATATTGGTTTTGTAGTATGAGATCTAAG